GATTCAAGGATTTAGGAAATTCCAGAGTGAATAGAAAAGATTCTGGAATGGGAGGTGAAATAGACAAAGTTTGTGATTCACAACAGGGCGACACTCTTCCATTCTACCATGGAATTTCAAAGAATAATCTTCTAATAATTTAAAGCAGCAGAATCTCCAGGGTGGAAGTTTCTGGATTACATCCATTGCCACATATTGGACTAGACAGGGGAAGAAAGTTTAAAATATTTCCGTGTGGTTGCAAATGTGCTGCAGAGGAATAGGTTTTAGACACCTAGTGTACTCAGACCATTTTTGAGGCAAAGGAAGGCTTGACAAAAGGGACAACTTTCACTTAAACCACACGTATCCATATTTTGTGGAATGTGCAACTATGGCAATGGAGAAAGGCTTATAAGTTTCAATACATCAAAACGACATATTTTACAGGCAGAATATCGATAATAGAAACAAAATATTTTGGACTCAGCAGGTCAGGCAGCATCTGCGGAGAGACAAACACAATTAATGTTTCATGTTGATGAAGATTTATAACTGGATGTAGGAAGAGTTCGGAGGTGGATATCAAATCCAGTAAGTCAGAAAATGTAAGAAAAACATGAATAGGATAAATAGGCAGGAAACAACTACCCAGAGAAAAAATTGTATCTGGATGCACATAGCATAAGAAATAAAACATTGGAAGTGGATGCAGAAAATCAGTTTGAAAGATAGGATGTAGCAGCTATTTCTGAGATCTGATCACAAGCTGGGCGTGTTTTGGACCTGGAGTACAGTGTGGAGTTTTGGTCTTCTTACATGATGAAGGCTATTCAGACTATGGAGTGAGTGCAATAAATGTTAATCAAACTGATTCCTGGGATGGCAGGACCGGTATATGAAGAGAGACCAGATTGGTTTGGAATATATTCACTGGAGTTTAAAAGAATGAGGGTCAATTCATAGAAACCCTTAAAGTTCTAACAGCTCTAGACAGGGTAAATATAGCAAAGATGTTCCTGATGTCTAGGGAGTCCAAAACCAGGAATCATTGTCTAAGGAAGCCATGTAAGACAGAGATGAGGAGAGATGTCCTCACCCAGAGAATGGTGAGTCTGTGGAATTCTCTGCCATAGAAAGTGGCTAAGGCCAAACATTTGAATGTAGCTAAGAGGAAGATAGATATAGTTCTTAGACATAAAGGGATCAAAGGATGAGCGGGTGGGGGAAAGCAGGAACAGGGTACTGAGTTGGATGATAAACTATGATCACATTGAATGTTAGAGCAGGCTCAAAGGGCTGAGTGGCCTATTTCTGCTCCAATTTTCTATGTTTCTGTGATTGAGAGCTAATCATTGCAACCAACAAGATCTTTAGAAAGGAAAGGGAAATAATGGAACAAGGAAGATCTTGTATAAGGAAATGGTTCCAATGTGGTTAATGTTCATGTTGCATTGTCTCCACCCATTCTACTGATTAGGGGTGGTGACAAGGAAACTATTCTAACTTTCAGATGGGGGTAAATGTACCTAGTCCAGCTTTGTAAGATCTAGTAGTTGTGCTCCACCAAATCTACCTATAATCAGTCTCTTTGTTACCCTCTTCTGTAACGTCATGCTCGACAATGGTGTATAGCCTATCACTATTTACTGTATAGGCCCAACACAAAGCAAAGCCAAAAGGAAGATTAGTGGCAGCAAACACCCTCAAACAATCTAGTACCGCCTTCTGGTAGAAGTGGCAAATACCATAAAGAGACGGGAGTGGTGATTTGCGAAAACGCCCCAGAGGCCGTGACTAGGGGAGAGAGTAGTCGAAAAATCTTTTTGAATCGTTGTACTTTGAGAATCTCAGTAATGTGGTGCGTCTGAGCAACCCCACCGCGCTGTTATCGTTTTTTTTCGCGAGAAAGATGACAGAAGTGTTAAAATAATGCATCAGTCTACAGATTGTGTATTGCAAGTTTGGTTAAATTGCAGGCGTCTCCCGTGGGCGTCTGGAACGCGGCAGAAGCATAAAAGTTGAGCGTTTTCTTCCCTCTGTACCACGCAGTGCATTGAAACTGTTCTGCGCGGCTTTAAATGCGATTGTAAAAAATAAACCGAAAGTCCCACCAAAACAAAAACATTAATCTCGTTTGCTCTTTGCGGCACCTTGCTGGGACAGTTGTTTACATAACAGCACTAATTACACTTCAAAAGTAATTCATTGGTTGCGAAACGCGTTGACGGCTCCCGAGTACATGACAAGTCAACTCAAATGTGCAGATATAGGCTCATATAAGCTGGTTTTTTGTTTCGTCTTTGCTTTAAGGAGCGCTTTCCCAGTGGGGTCAGGACATGACGGGTTTAAACGGCCATTTTAAAATGGACAACCTGAGAGTGCACTGCCCATGTACTGTGTTGACTGGGATTTGACGAAACGATCCCGTCATTTACATGGGATCGGACACTGAAGTGAAGCTTTTCACGTACGTGTGTGACTGTGTGAAACGGGCCATGATAAACACACGGGAAACTAACGGGATTTCGGAGCTCATTACTTGGCGCTCCTTCAGTAATCAAGAAGGTCTGTCAGTGAAAGCAGTTTAGCTTTTCGCCTCACTCGTTTGTGAATGCAGATCGGGAAGGATCCCTCACTCTGCACATCCTAGGCCCTGGCAACTACCTATTCCAATCGGAATTCACCTGCCAGCATTATATGACGCCGCTCGGCGAATTGGTGTCATAGCGGGAAATGGGCAACGAATACTGAATAAGACTAGTCTTTTTTTCCCGTTCACAACACCGAATAAGGCACAATTTAAATAGTGTAGTAGCGTTATAGCAATAAAATTCAACCACAGTTTGTTTTAGTCCCAGAAACCTGTACTCATCAGAAGGTGCATGAAGGGATGAAACAATTAATTTGAAAACTAACGTGTACAGTCAATCAAGTTCTATTGTGTAGAATTAATACTTTACAGGAAACAGTCCACTTCCAAACCATTACAGATGTATAACGGCGCACGAATGTAACGTGCCATTCGGCCCCTCGTGCTGCACTTTAAATAAGCACCACTCCCAAGCGCGAATTTCCTTGCCGTTTTGCTGTGCCCTTGCACATGATTTTTTTGTCCACATCATTCAATGCTGTATTGAATGCCTCAATTGAACTTGCTTCCACCACACTTCCAGCAGTGCATTCCACACCCTAACTATTCGCTGAGTGCAAAACTTTCTCTTCACTTCACGGAGACAATATAGATAGAAATTTAGTTAGATATGTGCATTCCTTTGCAGATCACTTTACATCCTTTTTGTTTTTGTTCTTTTAATGAGGGGGAATAGTTTCTCCCTCTCTGCCCTATCCAGCCCAATCACGATTTTGAAAACCTCTATCAGATCTCCTTTTAGCATTTTTTCTCCAAAGAGAACGATTCTACCTTCTCCCATCTATCCTCACGTGTCTGTATTGTCATTTTTACTTCTAATACGGTAGGAAAGTAATTAAAAAGAGACTGACAAACAGAATAGTGCGAGTAAAAACAGAGTAAACGTTTCAGATCCGGTGACTCTTCCTCAGAACTTTTTTTACCTTCACAGATGCTGCCAGACCTGCTGAGCTTTTCCAACAACTTTGTTTTTGATCCTGTTTACAGCATCCGCAGTTCTTTCGATTTTTATTAGAAGAGTGTGGGTAGTTATTACAATTTGGATTTATGCCGTTGCACAAAAATAAAGCGCATTGTAATAATCGAATTGACCCTCATGCTTTGTTGTGGGTCACTGCATTTAAACCTTTGACATGTGGAATAATACTACTGAATATTACAACCTGAGAGCAGATCACAAATGTTTCCTACATTTTCAGATAAAAATATTTGGATTACGCTCGAATATTTTCAAAACCATAGTTATTATACTTTACACTATACAAACTTTAAAAAGTTTCATTTTTATTCCTGTTTAATAAGAATTAACAAATTGTAGATGTCATTATTTGTGGAGTTGACCAGTATTTAGCCAGCATGAACGCAATGAACTACTATAAAACACCAGCTATCATCGGTCGCCTACAAATTGGAAATAAACGGCAAACTTATAAAAGTCTGAAAACTATGATCAGTAACATTTATGCATTGGTAAAAGACACTGTTAAAGTAGGCCTGCCTCTACATTAGGAAAATAATCACCATTTACTACAAGATACTAACAAAATAATTTATGCACTTCAAGTTTTACTCTTTTTCCCGTTCATATCCTCGTGCCACGAAATGGCGCACAACGTTATCGTTACCTATTGCCTGAGAAGTGATTCTTAAGAACTAATAACCATTGAAAATGATTTTATTCACGATTATCAAATTAACACGTGGTCAATGTTTTCACCAGCCTTTCGCGCCGCAAAGTTCACTTTTCAGGTTGATATTTCACTGGGCTAGCAGAGAAAACGATGCCAAAAATGTTAAATAACACATGCAATATGACTTTATAAAATAATGTGTGACAGATGTTTGCAATCACACTCTATCGTCTTCGCTACCAGCTTCAAGTCACTTAGTCACATATCTGTGTATAAAACATCTTCATATTTATGTCAATAATGCATATATATAATTAAATTTTTATCTGAATTGTCTCCGTGCAGCTACTTCTCCCTGTGTATGATAGTGAATAACAGTTCCCCTTGGTTCAGAGCTTGTTGGGAGTGCTGAGGACGCTGCAATCTCTTCCTCACCCTGGTTTCCTACCTTGGGCTACTTCGCTCAGTTTTAAATTTCCCGCGCTGCATTCAAATTCTGCCGCAAACCCAAATGTTTCATGAGAAAAGGAGGGAGAGAAGAAAAGGTGATGGATGGAGGTGGGCGGGAGGGAGGGAAAACCATCTCCAGGGTAACCTGTCGTTCCCATAGTAAGGAGGGCGCGCGCTGTAGGAAAGGGGGGTTGTGGGTGGAGAGCGCGAGGAGCGCAGAAAAAGGGGGCGGTGGAAAGGTAGGTGTGTCGCAAAGAAAAATAAAAGTGTCGCAAAGAAGGCTGGGGGTGGTTGCACGCGTCCTGGAATTTGACAGCGCTTATCAATGAAACGAGAGAGCGAGCGGATCATGGCGGATGGCCCCAGGTGTAAGCGCAGAAAACAGGCAAACCCGAGGAGGAAAAACGGTGAGCTTTTCACCGGGGTGGTGTGGGGGAAGCAGACCCGTGTGGAGGAGAGATCCTCACAATCCTCCCGTCACACCAATCCCACCTTTCAAACAACACCTCCTCTTCTCCTTACTCTTTTAAGAGCAGGGGTAAACGGGCGGGGGGGGGGGGGGGGGGGGCTTGGTGGTGTAACTGGATTAAAAAGAGCAGAAACAAAAGAAAAACTTAACTCGGAGAAACTCGGCTGTGCGAGAGAGAAAGAGAGTAGTCGAATTTTAAATCGGGAACTCGACAGAAAGAGCGCTCAGTCCCAGTGCGGGTTATTTTTTGTTTAATGATGGTTGTTTGGAGTTTGGTTGTGGTGGGTCGTTTTATTTTGGGAGGAGGGGGTTATGGTGGGGCTGGTGTTGAGGAGAGGATTGAGCAAAGTGTGGCGAAAGTTGGGAGGCGAGCAGTTCTTGCTGTTGTCAGGGTGAGATCATTACCTGCTCCTGTTCTCTGGTCTCTCTCGCCCGTCGCCTAGCGGTTCATGGCCCTGGACCGTTATACGCTGCCGCTCCCAGCTCTTTATCTGCTTCGTCAGTCAGACAGCCTCCTCCTCCTCCCCCCATTCCCTCTCCTTTCACCCACCCCAGGGCGAATTAAACCAGAGAATTTTCTAGTCCTGTGTTTATAAAATGTGCATTCAAAACTCCGACACTTTGCTGCCTTCTTTTTATGCAGGGTGCTTTTGGCGGTGAGGGCCGTTTCTTTATTTCTTTCGGGTCTCCCTGAACTATACCACGGTCTTAAAAATGAACTTATCACCTGACGCAGTCAGAGTTGAAAAGTGTTTAAAAGAGGAAGCGAGACTTTTTTTGGCTTGTACGTTTCTTCCTTTTCCTCCCTTCCCTGGTGTAAACATAAACAGATTGAAGTTTTTTTTTCTTTAATTGCTTTATGTTATACTCCAGGAAAGGCTGAGTCTATCGTTTGTCTTTTTGCCCGGCTACCTGTTTGGTGCCGAAATGGGTGGTCACGGTTCGAGCGAACTACGGGGCCTCTGGCCCGCTTCGCGGACTCGGACTCTCGGCTGAAAGCGCTATATAAGGAATACATTTACATTATAGCCGGGAAGGAGTTGGATCTCTCTATCCCCCATCCCACCCCACCACTTTCATTTATTTAAAGTTTTATGTGAGCGTGTATATGTTTGGTTTCTTGAATCGTTCATTGTAAGGAAGAACAGTACTTTGAGCGTATCGGTTATAATTTAGTCCTAAATTGAAATTATTTTGTTTGTTTCAAACTTAGGAAGGTAGAGATTTCCCCCTTCAGGAAATACTAGCTAACGGTGTGACAGCATTTCCCTTCTCGCATTTTGATGTTTTTATGTATTTTCCTGTGTAATTACCACATTTGAAATACAAATTAAAATAATATTTTTAATTAAGATGTATGCATTTAGAGTGATTGTAGGGTATTTTTCCATTTAAAATATTTTGTCCTAATGGTTGATGCTAAGTTGATGGGCTTTTCCTGCTGACGAAATTGTGACATGTGCGCCTGCCACAGCGAGCGAGAGAGAAGGGAGGGAGAGCGATGTAAACATGTTTACCTGAAAAATGGGACCGCTACGTTGTTAAAAATGGCAAGAAAACCTGGCGCCTGCATATTTATTCAGTGTGTGCTTTTTAAAATCAAGTAACAATGTGGAATTGAAGCGGATTTTTAAAAAGAGAAAAGTATTTCCTTTCAGCAGGAGAAAACGATTCCTGATTGTCGTGTCGAGCCGAGCTGACTAGGCTGCAGCAAATGGCAACTTGTGCAGGTAGAAATGGTGTTAGTTTCAGCCCCCTCTGTCTGCTCCAGTCTCCTGGGAGAGATTTATTTACCATGGTTGCAGTAAGGTTACTTTCCTTTGTGTTTTTGCACGGGCATAATTCGTGAAAGGCACTTCACATTTTTAATCCAAGCCTTTTAGATTTTATTTTGAAATTGCATATTAGAAAGGAGACAGCTGGTGTTCCATGTCCAATCTCCTTTCTGTATATTTTAATCTCGACAAGCACGCCCTGGTTTCCCCTCGGTGTGTCGTTCCCTCTATTTTATGTATGTTGGGAGGGGTGTAGCAGTCGTTAATATCTGATTAGATTGACGCCTGGAAGCTCCTGCAGAGAAGCGAGTGGAGGAGGGGTAAGAATGAACGTGTTTATGTTGGGTGGAGGTTTTTGTGTAGGATGTGCGCCCAGGTAACGAATGCGGTGAACGCAGGGAATCTTTTTTTAAAGCCTAAAGTGTTATTCCATCCGTTTAAATCACTCGTGTCCTGCCATCTACAGAAAAAATCAAATCTAGTTAACTGACTGTGGCACATAGTGTTAAGCGACTGTTCTGTATCGCTAATCCTATTGGAGCAGTCATAAATCTTTAATTTTTTTTTACCCTAGTGTGTGCGTTTGCTCTATCTGCCCACTAGGGTAGTTTTTTAAAAAAAAATCTGCCCAGGTTAAAGCAACTGGCTTTCAGTTTTTCTTTCACAAATTAGAGATTTAAGAATTTATTCGTTGTTTGCACATTCTTTTTTTTCCCCGAAAATACATTTTATTAAAATTTCCAAGGTACGTGACAATAGGCATTCAAAATCGATCTTGCATAAGGTGCAAACTAAATCCGTTTCTTCAAATAATACTGTTACTCACTACATTTAGAATTAACATTTACACTCTTCATATAAATGTACAGCCCCAGAGGTTTTACCTTTTTTCCAGCCCCAGTATTGTTGCTGAGAGGAGTGAGGGTGCCCTTTCCCCAATCTGTCTTCGTGAGAGATGCCTTTAAACTTTAGTGCATCATTCAGCACATAGTTTTGGGCCTTGGAATATTCTTGGTTGTGGAAATCTCTTTGCACTGGGAGACTTTAGTTCATATTCTGTTTCTCTGAATGCTGTGTTTGACTTGGATGATTTTTTGTTTGAAGTGTAAGTTTACTTTGTTATCTGGTACTTTGCATGGTTTGGTTCCATGTACTAATGGCACTTGCATTTCTCACAATTTGGTTTTAATTCCTATGAATTCAAAATTGAGGATGCTTGGGTAGGGATTTCCCTTGTTTATTTTCCCATTTTGAGAAAGCACACTTGGGTTTACCGGCAAAGAGTGCTTTCCAAACTTCACTTCAACATGCTGAGAAATTGCATGTCCCTAGAACTAATTTATCTTAAATGATTTGTGGGAAGCAAGTTGTAGGTTTAGGATAGGAAATGAAAGTGATGTCTTGACTACTGAAGAGTTGAGGATCAAGAAATTGAAGAATGCCATGTCAACACTGGCTGATGAAGTAGAGTGGATGCAGGACAAATGATTTCTGTTTCTACAGAAATTATCTTGAAGGTCAAGATTTTCTGTGCTTTGAATCCTCATCTGCTTTCAGATAAGTGGTTGAAATATTTTGAGCACAAATGAACTTGGCTATTTAATTTTATTTGAAAATTTTCAATCTTTAAGGACGTTGGCATGGAAGATTGGAATGCATTGTTTTTCTTTTGAAACTTGATGTCATTCTCAAGCATAGCCAGACACAAAATACAGTTCAGTGCATTTGACGCCCACAATGGTTGTAACCTAGAGCTCCATGCACCTTTAATTTTCCAAAATTATAATGAAATTTGGGTGTCAGAAGTGAAATGTAATGTCACATGTTCAATCTTTAATCTACTGAAAGCTCTTCTTGCACTGACACTGCTTAGTTTTAGTAATGCTTTTATTTATTAGCTTCATAAAATTTGAAGTAGTGAACTGCAACAAGGTTGATGTTTCTAAAGTGGGTGTGATGAACATTTCATTAACTTGAAATTCAAGGGATTAATCTGGACAGAAAAGGTGTTTTACACATATATTTTACAACTGAGTTTTCTGTTTACCAACGTTGGTGTGCTAGGAAAAATTATTTTTAACCAAAAAGCAGGAAGCAAACATCTGAGGTGCTGTTCAGTGACCTTTGTCCAGAGACTGTGAATGCCTTAGGTATGATTTCACTTTCACTACATCCTTAGTCAACCTGAATGCCTGTCAAATCAGATGTACACATAGACGTTTTTCACTATATGTGCCTGAAGGAAACAACAAAGCATAGAATAATCCTGAGCACTATCCATGTGTTTACTTTTATGTTGTGGTGAAAGGGGGAGGGGTTCTTTTTTTTTCTTGCAAGGTGCTTGGCACATTAACTGTCTGGGTCAGTATTTATTTTCTGTTTGGTTTTTGAGTATTGCCCTTTTACTCCCTACAGCTAGCTCATCCAAGTAAGTCTTGTACTTGAGATTTGGGTAAAATACAGTGGGAGGAGAAAAATTGTGTATTAATTTAGAAAATACACTGGCATGTTGGGCAAGTAGATGAGCTGTTTTGTGTATATTTGCATCATTTGTTTGTCCTAATTGCACACTTTTTTAGATTCTGCTTCGCCGATGAACATGTAAGTTGAGAGGAGACTTACAGTCTTAGAAATTACTAAGAATTGTTGACTGCTTTTCAAGATAAGCATTGTACTAATCCTTGTTTTTATTTGTAATTTGAAAATTGTAAAAATTTTGTTCCTGTACAACGGAGTTTAAGATTGGCAGCTTTTTTTGTTGTACTAACTACAGTTATTTGTTTTTTGGCTAAGCCTTAAGTTATCTCTGGCATGGTTTCTAGCTTGGTCAGTGAACTTACTGAGGTTTTTCAACTATTGTGCACTACTTGTAGAAAAGCACTAACAGAACGTCACAGTTACCTTTTGGAGTTTGTTTGCTATACCTCATACGGTATCTGCCTTAAAAGGAAGGTTTCTGTATAGACAGGGACAACCCTTTTTTCATATTTGTGGATAAACTTGGAGTATTTCCCCACAGTGTTTGTTGGAAAATAGGAGATTAGTATTACAGCCATGAAAGTTGCACTTGAGATCTTGACACCTTCAAAGCAACATATTTTTGTAATATTTCTTTTAATTTCAAGAAGTATGATGACATTTGAATAGAATAGCAACATTATTT